TTGTCTTCGTGGCAACTTTCCTGTAAATTTAAAAATCACTTCCTGAGAAAACGGAACCAACACACACACAGGTCAGGTCTCCCCAGCTCCAGGCTGGAGAAGCAGCAGCTGCAGGCTCCTGCAGGACAGAGCTGCCTACCCCACCTCCACATGGTAGAGCTGTGACCTTCCTCAGGCGTATCCTCCAGGACAGCCCGGTGCAGGCCTCATCAGGGCGATAGGGACAGATGCTCCTATTCTTTTTTTTTATTCTTGTTTTTTTGACACAGGGTCTCATCGTGTAGTATGTAGCCCAGGCTGGCCCCAAAGTCACTGTGATCCTCCTGCCTCAGCCTCCCAAGTACTGGGATTACGGTGTGTGCCACCACACTTGGCTCCAAAGATGCTCATACTCAGCAGGGATCGGGCTGACGGATTCTCTTTGTCCAGCACCCAGCACAGCTAAAGGCTGAGCTCCTCTACAGGGTGGGTGACCCCTCCCTGCATATCCCAACCTGACCTGGAACTGAGGTGCTGAGGACACAGGGGACACTGAGCAGGACAGGGTATCCATGCACCGGGTCCCCGGAGCTGAGGACAGTAGAAGACAGGCCATCCTTACCTGGGCAGCCTGAGTGTCCTCAGGACATGTGTGCCAGAGAAGGTGCAGACTTCTAGCACAGGTTCTCTGCTCAGCACTAGCTCCGTGCACACTCAGGGGTCAGCCCAGAGACCCCTCCAGCCCTACTGTCACACAGAGAGCACAGGACAGCCCTCCTGCATGGTGTGACAACTGCTCCCACCCACAAGGACAGTGGTGGGTGTGAGTCCAGGGCATCAGTCACCCTCCCCCACAGGAAAGAAAAGGAGATGAGCTCCTCAGCTCATGGACACAGCCAAGGGGAACACGCTGGCCTGGGGCGGCAGGGATTCAAGCATATTTTGGACGGCCCAACACACAAAGCAGTGGCGTGCCAGCTCTGGCTGCAGCCGCCTCACCTCCCGAGCACCTCACCTCGTGGCCCTGGACAGCGCACCGCCTGTCTACCTACCTAGGCGCTGGGCGAGGCCAGCAGAAGTGGTGTCAGAAGTGTCTCCGAGGAGAGAGGTGCACACAGGGATGGGGTCCTAGGAGAAAACAGAGTGTGCTGCAGCTTCCACTGGGTTCCAGCAGCCACGCTCCTGCAGTTTCTGGTTCCCCACCGGCAATAGGAGCAAGCTCTGTGAGGACAGGCGCTGCTCCCAAGAAAGAAGGCTTTCTCAGTCCCCTGCCTAAAGGCTGACACCACCCCACACATACACAAAGGAAGTCAGGGAGCTGGGATGGGCGAAGCTGGAACCTCGGAGCAGTCACCAAGTTCTGGGCAGATCTCACACAAAGGGCTGTAGTGTCAAGAAGCAAGCGGGACCAGGAAGGCCATGGTAAGGAGGGTGGGGTACGGCCGCCTAGCATCCGGTCCCGAGCAGAAAGCAGCACCCTAATCTCACCCTGGCCTGTGAGCGCCCACAGTCCCAGCCCTGAAGGCCATCCACACTCCTGTGGTCAGCAATGGCCTGACTGTGACTGTGAGAAAAGCCCCAGCCACCACTTCAAACAACGAGCTCAAAGACCTGAAAAGCTGACCACTCTCACGTCGGAGACGAGGCAACAGAATGAAAGGAGGACTGCAACAGACATGTGGGCGCAATTTCACTCCAGTTGCTCTGGCCGCGCCATAAATGAGGTGTAGCTTAACAGGAAAACAACACTTACTAACTTGGGATACAGCCAAAATTACTCTATCAAAGCAGCAGACTTCAAAGAGAAACAGCGAGGGCACAGCGCTTTGGGGGTCCTGAGCAGTGACAATGACAGGGACAGAGGCTCTGGAAACCTGTCCACGTGGGGACAAGTGACCTGCACACCTACTGCAGCCACACAGCTGCAGACCAGAGCCTGCACCTGTCCCCACAAGGTCATCACTTCCAGAGCTCCTTCAGTTCTACAAAAGATGGGAGACCAGAGACAGGAAAGAGTGAAACATCTCCTGCATGTTCCTCTGAATCACAGGTTGAGTCACAGGCTTAGGCACATACACCTACCAGCTGTACTGGGCCTGTCCTGTTCACAGGGAACCTGGGCCTTCCTGTTTTTCACACTTTTCCAACTGGCCCAGCTCTTTGCCTCCAGAGAAAACATCCCATCCAAGTGCCCAGTGGCAGGAACAGGGTTCTGACAGATCTGGAAAAGCCTGGGTCCCTTTTCTCCTGCCTGACAGTGGTGGAGGGGGCTTTCCACCTACTGGGAGCAGACTGCCAGGCCCAGGGGAAGTTCATTCACTCCCTCACCAAAACTAGTGCTGCAAGAGGCCAAGGCCCCCTGGGTCTTCCCAGGGTACGGTCTGGGTCCTGAGGTCCATGTGGCCACCACCTCACCTGTGTATGACGCCTCAGGGCAAGGCGTAAAACACACGTGCGGTGATTGTGAAACAGCCCTGTAATCATCCCGGTCTTCCCAGGACTCCATGCCTCTCTCCTCCAATAACTAAAGCCCTAGAACTGCCGCCACCCCAAAAGCCCACCTATCTGCCGGTGCCTCCCGAAAAGCAAAAACAAATACTCAGAAGAGAACGATGAGGATGGAAAGGGCCAAGGCTACTGCGTGAGGACGTCTAGCAGTCCCCACACGAGACTTCCTGGGACCCACTCCTGTGACCTCGCCAGCTCAGTCCCTCCTCCGTGGCGGGCGGCAGTCCGCCCTCCCCGAGGGTCCCTCAGGTTCCCCACTCTCCTCCCTGG